GCGCAGTCTTCTTTCTTCTAACTCTTATCTTACGAATTATCTCTCCAATCTAACCTTATATTCAGGGTCGCCTGCAGCAAAACCCATACAACGAATCTCCCCTYACCTAAATCTGTTCAAAAATTGACAAAAACGTTYACTTCCTCCTTCGTCCRCCATAGCCCRCGCAGCCACTTTATCACCTACCCCCTACACCACTAACTATCGGCCCCAAMWAACCGCAAATCMGAACTCGCCCCATCCAAAAAGCACGAAGACAACTCTCGGTTTGCCMGATCCCRACGAGASTCGRGCAGTATATTCCCTTTTCTACCTCACCTCTCTCCTTCAGCGCTCGGCCATGGCCGKCTCGGCGCACTAAACTTTCTTCCCCGCTCYGTTCCTACTAACCTGCTAACTAATCTGACCTCGTWGTCGTGTTCGCCCGGGGTTAAACCCCCCGGATCGTCTCTCTGCTYGCCTGATTCCGCAAGGAATCGAGGGAGCTTTGCGTATCCCGCTGTGCCCTGCCCTGTCTCCTCTCCGAATGCACCCCGTCACGCCCCCCGTCTACATTCATTTACTCCCTTCTGCCCCGCTGCCTACTGGCTCGTCTCTCCGCCTTGCCTCTGCGTACCTWGTGCTCGTSACCCTYCGRCGCTCTGCTCYACTCCCCGTTYGTGCCCCKCGCTCGACCTTCARGCTGGCCCGCTCCRYTTTGCGCTCATCGCCCGCTGCTAGCCTCCACCCRCARCTTTMGTCACTGCKCTATCTCTTCCCYGCATGCACCCTGCTCYGGATCATGCCCGGATCCATTCTCCGKTCTCTCTYCGCCTCGMTCCWCTCTWCACTGTCTCAGTGCCCRRYGCTSTAACACTGCACGGCCCGACARCSAGCCGGGTTTGATACGAACAAAAAGGTGACCGGCTGTCGGACCTCCCCTRATATATGCCCTTCGTCCGCGCGTAGGGGCCATGCTAATCTTCTKTGTATYGTCCCAATTTTAACGGATGYCCCGAAGGACTTTTTGACCGGGGCAGCGTTTCGGTATCCGAGCGRCCCTAATCCCTCCGCGAATCTGGCCTCCYTCCGAGGCCGGATTCCGGCGCCTCACACARCCTCCACCCTCCGGAGGCACAACGACTGGCCCATCGAAGAGGCTCAGTCCCGATGCTATCGGCTGACCMCCGGCAGGTACCGCCCACCTGCCGTAGCGGGTATCGCACCTGCTGATGGGTACAACCCCCGCATGTTCCCTTGTTGGAGGCTTAAGCACGAATGTGGCTGCTATGGAGTTCCCCAAAACATTANGGGTATCGCACCTGCTGATGGGTACAACCCCCGCATGTTCCCTTGTTGGAGGCTTAAGCACGAATGTGGCTGCTATGGAGTTCCCCAAAACATTATAACGGGCTAACTTCGACGCGGCCACGAAAACTACTTGCCACTGCATTTCAGGCAATCCCGCGAATACAACGTACCCTCACGTCGGCCCGCGTCCCCGAACGGGTTGCAGTAAATAAAACAGAAAAAGGGGAAGTAAAATAAGAATAAAATAGAAATCGGAACAGCGGGGCTGCTGGCGCCTTGTCAGTCCCGCAGATCGGGCCCGATGCCGCGCCCGCAAACAAAACCGAGGGGGATAGCCCCACATGCCCTCAACCCCTCAGGCTTTCGCGGCACGTTACTCCGCTGCCGCCGCACCGACGCTCGCTGGCCTTGACCCCTGAACCTCCGTAATAACAGTCCGCTGTCGTAACCTATAGGGCTATGCCCAAGCTTGAGATCAGCGCCCGCCGAGTATCATATAAGGCAGAGTGGCGTGGCGCTTTGGGCAAACAAACCGGTTGCGCGGCTCCCATTGTCCACGCCGACTTGCTTATACCGTGCCATAATTGCCCCACGTGCCATCCTACGACACCCCGCTCACTGCACGAAGTCGCGCCGTCGTTGTCGATGCCATCGTCGGGGTCGTTCTCCGCACGTGCGCAGGTCTCAGTCAAACCTACCAATCAGAAGAGATATCCTTAAATCCTAGGTTGATCAAAAACAACTAAATAAATAATAATAATATCAAGCGAAACGACCAACGTCGCGTCGGCTTTATAATCAACAGTTAGGGAAGGGATCATGAGTGCCTTGAACCTGCGCGCCCATGCACCCCTTATTCTAGTCAACCATCCTATCAGCGTAAATTACAGACGCGGCTGCGCCTATCGAGGTATATTTAAACTTTAACCGAAACTGGTTTCTGTCACTTGCAAAAACCAGGGCGGATACACTTGTAAGGGTATTCGCACCGACACCGCCCTTCCCCCCGCAAAGGTCTGTGAGACAAGGGGACCCCATTGCCCCATTGCTCTTCGTCCTTGTCATGGAGACTCTGGCAACTCTCATCAGATCTAACCCGGCAATCGAACGGATTCAATTGAAAAATTGTGGCAAATTTTCTAGCAGGATGATCACGTGTGGACACCACATTTCAACCGTTGGAACTGTGTTTATAAATTGTTTGGAGGGGGGGGGGTCATGTGTTCCACCAGAAGTGAAGGAAACCAACGCTGACCAAACATTGGGCTCACTGAAACTGGTGTGTCCATCTGTTGGTCCATTTGTTGAAAGGATGTTGGTCCATCTGTTGACCAGTTGTTGACAACTTGTTGAAAACTTATTGAAGACTTGTGGAAAACGTTTTGGAACGTGTTGAGAACGTGTTGAAACGTGTTGAAAACTGGTTGAAACGTGTTGAAAACGTGTTCACCTTTCGTAGAACGTTACGTTCTGTGTATGGGGAAAAAATCGTTATTTTTGGCTCATTCCGTCGGTTTTCGCTGTTTCTTCCAGTCATTTTTTCCTGCTGCACGATATGATATGCTCTTTCGCAAATGTCAATCGTTGAGTCTTTCAGTACTCCTGACATGCAACGACCACAATGACTGAAGATAAAGAGAGAGGGCCACAGAGAGAGAGAGAGAGAGAGAAAGAGAGAGAGAGAGAAAGAGAGAGAGRGAGAGAGWGAGAGAGAGAGAGCTGGAAGCAGGGTTCACTACTGCGTGACACAAATTGACCAACATGGCAGTGCGAGATAGACATTGACCCGTAGTAGTCAACCTTTGTTTTTGATTGGTGTTGGATTGCGGTATTTCATTTTGTTGATGGACGCGTGAGGGCGCGTCGATTAAATGCTGAGTTGCTCTGCTACAAGCACAGTTCACTACTGCGTGACACAAAATTACCAACATGGCAGTTCGCGAGAGAGAGTGGCACGCAGTAGCCAACCTTCCTTTTCGAGTCTGTAGGATTGTCGTACTTCATTCTATGAACGGACGCATGTGGGAGCCTCAATTAAATGCTTAGATGGCCTGCTACAAGCACGGTTCACTACTGCGTGACACAAATTTACCAACATGGCAGTTCGCGAGAGAGAGTGGCACCCAAGAGCCAACCTTCCTTTTCGAGTCTGTAGGATTGTCGTACTTCATTCTATGGACAGACGCGTGTGGGAGCCTCAATTAAATGCTGAGATGACCTGCTATAAACACGGTTCACTACTGCGTGACACAAATTTAGCAACATGGTGGCATGAGAGAGAGTGGCACGCACTAGCCAACCTCTATGATGATGACAACCACGGATGGTGTTTTTTTCATAACATAGTCGCTCTATGACCAATCACACAAAGACGAGCATTACAAGGGATTGTACAATTGTGTATCATAAATAACAGACCATATGTTGTAAAGTGACTGTTCAAGTGCCATGGTTGAGAGTCTTCATCTCCTCTCTCTCTCTCTCTCTCTCTCTCTCTCTCTCTCTCTCTCTCTCTCATGGAATGACCGTGACCTTGTGGAATGAACCTTCTGATTTACAGATTTCATAATGAACCTTCTGATTCACACTATTATGTTCACCACCTCCCCCCCCCCCCCCCCCCCCCCCCCCCCCGCTGTTCAAGGTCTGGCGCACAGACTTTCTGTATCCCTCTCCCCGTCTCTGCTTCTCTCATGTTGCTGTGCAATGAACTCGAGGTCGAAATCGTCATCCGTTATTGTTGTGTTGTGTGGCCCACTCCTGTGGACAGAGGGCACGCCAGCTTGAAATAGCGCAGCAGCCTTCTCAGCAACAGATACGGCACGGTCCAGCTTGAAGATAAAAAAACTCATGACTGTATCGCGGCCGCGGACAGATGATGCGATGTCCTGCTTTATAGAGACCAATTTTCCTATCTGCTCCGCCGCTCTGGTGGTCTTTGTTGTCTGCTCGATTTCACATTGCAGAACCATCTCTGCAAAAACCATTTGCTGCAGGGTCACGCCAAGGTTTACGTCGTCCCTCCTCATCTGGAAAACCTTGGTGAGTGTCGTCTTGAAGGCTGGGACGCCCCAAGGATCGTTGCCGCTCTGTCTCCACATTTTGTTCTCCTTCATCTCTGCTCGCATCTTGTTGCGAGTAGGGAGCTGGTGATCTGTTTGCTACGATCGTACAAGCGGGATCCCTTTTTCAGCCCAGAACCAATGTTTCAGTTGCCATGTTATCTCTCCACGCACGGTTGTCATCATTCTGTTGCACTCTCCTATGACTGCTCGAATTCCGCACTCCGCTACGTGTGATCGCAGTCTTTCCTCGGCGTTCTCGCCTATCAGTTTGGCCGTTGTTTGCAGCGCCGTGAAAAATTCATCCTCTGTTGGGTACAGAGTTGCGTCCTTCGGTGCTGAGAACGCAAAGGCTTTCGCGACCGCCCGGAACAGTCTGTCCTTCATCTTCTTCGAGAATACGCCACTTTCTTGATTGCCTTGTTGCTGTCCTCCCCTGCTCGCGCACACTTTTCTTTGCGAATTCGTGCCATCTGTTGGAAGACACACATTACAACGCATATAATAATTTTAAGAACTCTGCATTTCGCACTTGCCAAATTCGACAGCCCGTTTCTTTTTCGTTGTTCATCACATCGACATCCTCGCAATAAAGAAATGTCATCACTTCACGCCGTCACCACATAATCGTTGTGCAAGAGGAGCAACTTCAACACATTTTGTTTACCTTTTTTAACTGCGTTGTCGTGCCTCACTAGTTGTCTGTCAATGGAGGGCGCGTCGGCTGCGCCTCCCTCACCGCCACTTTCGGGTTCCCTCGTGCGTCGCGTTCTTCCCAGAGACGGGGAACTCCCTCTTCCGTCCGCGCTTCTGTCGTCTCCGCCTGCCCCGTCACCGCCCTCATCCTGCGTTGTGTCGTCGCTGCTCCTGCCGTCCTCGTCATCAGCGTCGTGAGTGTCGCGAGAATGTCCGTCGGAAGTTTGACTGTCACCTCCCTCGTCGCTTGTCGCCTCGTTCTCCTCTCCGTCAGACTTTTCTGATATGGACTGGTCGTGTTCCTCTTCTGCTTCCTCTCGGGCCGCGCTGTGCACATCGTATGAGGCTCTCAGATCGATCATCTCCACCATTCTGTCCTTTTTGTACGTGATTCTCTTCTTTGTCCTGTGGTGCAGCTTTGACATTCCGTCTTCCCGTAACCTCTTCTGGGGGCCTTGGGTGGACGGTTCTCAACGCCTCCGACACGGTTCCGTGGGGCAGGAGTCGCAGGGGGTGATTCATTGCGTTCTTTCAGCTTTGAAATCCCCCTCTGACTTGATGGGAGAGAAACTTTTGATCCGTTTCTGCGGCTGCTGGTCCGCTCCGTTTTTGTATTCTGGGATCTGCTTCTGCGATGCTCTCTCCTTTCTTTTTTCTTATCATCCTTGCATTTCTTCCTCCCCTTGTCCTTCTTTCCCACGCCCTTCAAAGACCTGCACAAATCCTCGTATTTTGGCTTTGGAGCCATGACCCTTTTTTCCCCACATACATCAAAGTGGAATACGAACAACAACTGCGTCAGCAATGTCGTGCGTCGATCC